ATTATTTTTCAGAATACTGATAAAAAAGTTAAATGTAGAATGGATTGGCATCAAACGGGATCATTTGTTGTAGTTTCAATTTATGCTAAAAAATATGAACCAGATCAATCATTTGTTAAATTAAATCCTATAAGATTATCTGTAGACTTATTCTTTATAGAAGAAAATTCTAGATATAATCTTGATATAGAATTGAGAGGAGTATGTATATAGATCATTGTATAATTTAAATTCTTAAACATTTATTTAAAATTCTTATTATTAATTTATATAAAATTTCATTATAGATTGTTGATGTCACACAAAGTAGTGTTAATATGCTTCCTACTAAAGTTGAGATCAAATTAAAGAAAGCAGAATCTGGATCATGGGCAAAATTAGATTTTCCTAGAAAAAATGAAGAAGAAACAGAAGAAAATAATCAAAATAATGAAAATATTAATAATGTGGAAATTGATGCTGTGGATCTTAGTGATCTTTAAATATTCACATTTAAATAATTAATTAATAATTAATATTATTGTAAATTATGTACCTATATTATTTTTAAGGATATTACTTTTATTTAATGATACAAAGAAATATTATTTTCTTAATGTTGATGGAATTATTTCAAAGAAAATGAATATTTAGTAAAAGTATTTTTGTTAATTTTCATAGTAAATGAAATATGTAAAAAAATTTATTATCAAAATTTTATATTTAAAAGAAATACTGCATCTTTACATTTCATGTTTTATTTATGGTTTTTCAAATATCAATAAATCATTTTTAATTTACATTATGTTTTAATACAAATTAATATAATTATATATTATAATAATAATTTAATTATTATAATAATTTTAAAATCAGATTCTAAACATGAACGTAATTTATAAATTAAATTTTCATAAAATTAATATCATTTCTTTAATTTATTTTCGATTTTGACATAAATAGATACATTTTATTAAAACATGAAGTATCGATAGAATTTAATATATTCAATAATGAATATTGATTGATAAATATAAAATAAATAATATTTGGTAAATACAATAAAATCCAAAATAGTTGTGGATATTATTTATATTGAATGTTATATGCGAAAGAAAAACGAGATATTTAGAAAATTTTTTCATCTTTCATATTTTTTAGAGAAGTTTATGACGCAATCATAATCTCAACTGTAACAATATAATGCGTTGACATCATCTTAACCTATCTTTTTAATGTTTAAATTGTGTAATCTTGACTTACGTTTATTATTTTTATTATCCTATAATAATATAGAAAGCTATATAATTTATACTTTTTATTAAATAAGATTAAATTTTGATTTAATATAAAAAAAGTTCTTTTTTGTAATGTTTCTAATTTAATAAAAATTAAATGATTAATATATATTTAATAATAATTATTTTGAATGATTTATTAACATTATGAGTAATTTAACAAATAAATTGCGGGTAAGAAATAATTATTATATAAATATAAATAAAAATAGTTTTTAAAATATGCATACTATATTATATATATTAGATACTTGCAATTCATGGATATGCTCAATCAGATAATATTTTTAAAACAAAATTAGGCTCTTTACGAAAAGGATTTAAAAGAGAAATTGATTTCATATTTTTAAAGGCACCACATAAAGTTCCAATGAAAAGTAATTTTGATATTGATGATATTGAAGAAGGTATTTCATAAATTTTATATTCAATTAAATAATAAATAAAATTTATATATTATATATATTACATATTATATAATTAGTTAATAATAATTATATTTTTATTTTATGTGATTTAATAATTTTATTAAATGATTTAATATTAAAATAATAAAATGGAAATAAATGTTATAAATATTAGCATATGGATGGTGGTTCAATACAAAAGATCATATATTTAAAGCAATTGTGCCAAGTAACTCAGTTATAGGTTTTGAAGATAGTATAACTGTAATTGAAAAGATATTTCAAGAATCCGGACCTTTTGATGGTATTTTAGGATTTTCACAAGGTGCAGCATTTGTTATTATACTTTGTTTTATGCAACAAAAAAATTGTAAGTTTATGACTTATATAAAAAGAAATTATTAAAAGAAATATTAATTATAAAATAAGATTATATTAAAAATAATATTCTGATTAGTGTTACAAATCAAATTTGATTTTGCAATTATTATATCAGGATTTAAGTCATTATGTGCACCTCATGCAATATATTATGATGGAAAAATAACATACCCTCTTTACATATATATGGAAAGACTGATAAAATTATACCAACAGGTAAGATTTTTGATTTTTAAATTAATAATATAAATAATTATTACATTCTTTAACAGAAATGGCAGAAGAAATTAGTGAAATGTTTATAAATAAAATAAAAATAACACATGAAGGAGGCCATTATATACCAAGTAAGAAAGAATATTATAAAGAATTTATTATGAAAATGTTTTTAAATAAAAACAAAAATAATTAAAAATGTTTAATTATTATCTCATGGTATATAAAAGATTATTTATATTAAAATATAAACAATATAAATCTATATAAATTGTAAACTATAAGTACAAGTAAAATATTAGAGCGATATTAGTAAATTTATTTAAATCAATTATAAGTAAACACTGTATAATATTCACTAAAAATGAAATTTGTTAACATTTTATATTTAGAGTTGTATATGGTAGCCAAGATAAGAGAACATGAATATAATAATAAATTGAAATGATTTTATTCAAAATAATCTAATATTTGCTTATTATTTCATATTAATTGTATTATATGATTAAAAATTGCTTAATTGTTTTATAAAAGGCACTACTAATTTTAAATGTTCAGTATTTGAAAACTTAAATTACATATGTATTAAAAATGTATTGAATAGTGCCTTATTTATTAATTTATTTAATTTGAGAGAGTATGTTAATTGCTTAACTTAATAATATTCATACTTTCATACAAACTTTATGATATATTTAAGAAATATATTTTTTATGTATAGTAAGTTAAATGCTTATATAGATATCAACTGCCTTGGTTTATATGTTGTGATTATTCATTATTTTAATTTCAAGATATGTAGATTTATATAATTTACTATTGCAGTAATGTATATTTATAAATGTTATTAGCATTTTGAATTATTAGCATCCAAATTTTTTTAATAATGTCTACAGTATTAAACATTATTTAATAATTTTAAGAATATTATATTTTAATGCATATAACTCAATAATTAACTTATTACAGTACAGTGATATTTTAATTTTTAATAATATTATTAGTTTAAAGTAAACAATTCAATGCATTACATTTTTAATGCTATTTAATGCGTTACATTTTTATTTTTGAATAATGATACTGCAACATATTTAAGAGTATTTTATATATTAAATATATGAATACATTTAATGTATTCATAATACTGCATAGAAGTATATTATTTTTCAATCCATAATTCTAAGTAATAAATATACATGCAATTCTTCAAATAAATAAAATAACTAACACGCAAATAAAGTTAACAAAATTTTATGGTATAGCAAAATATAATTGATAGAAATATTGTATTTTATACCAAAATGATTATTTACTTGATTTAATGTATCAAATGTAATCAATTTGTTAAAATTACGTACACTATTTATAATGTATCACATTTTCAAATTTCTATTTTGTAATTGTAAAACTTAATTTTCAAAGTTTTTACAATTAATATTTTTTAATTTTGCATTTTAAGTAATAAATTGATGTTGCTATATATATTTTACAAAATTTGAGGCGTTTTATATTTAAAGCTTAATAAAAAAAATTTATGGAAATTTATAAACTAAAAAAATGAATTGGATGTGAGTTAAATTATAGGGAAAATTACAAAACATTTTAAGATAAAATACAAACTACAATCATAATTTACATGTGACTGAGGTATTTGATCTATCTTGGCAATAATAACAAAGTGTTGATATATTTTTATACCTAGAAAAGATTACAATAAACTTGGATGGTATACTGTATTGTAAATTTTATATTTTATTATTTTTTTTTTTCAGTCAAATGGTCAAGTATAAATAATACTTGATCATTACTCACAAAAAACAACAAAAATAAAAAAAATTAATTAACCAAAAAGTTAACAGTAGTCTTACCTACAGAAGTTAAAAAGCCTCAAGACACTTTTAATATTCGTATAAACTTGTATGTACCTAATATTCACATCATGTTTGCTTAAGCTGTTAGCCTTTTTGGAAATATTTGACAATTATAAAATTGTATTGAATTCAACACTTTATCATCAGTTGTTTCACAATGTTTCAAGGTGATTGCTCTTGCCCATTAGTTTCTTGAGATTTCATAACATCTGGTAAATCAGGTGGTAATGAAAATGGTGTCATTTCTAAAGGTTCAAATTGACCATTATCTTGACGAATAGCTAATCCTACTAATGCAGGACATTGTGGTTTTGCAGTTGCTGATGTTAATCCATAATCAGATAAAAATTTACTATCTGACATAAGAACATTATCCTTGTTGAACAGCTGTTGATTCACAGGTGATATTTTCAATATACCTATAAAAAAATTACATTAGTTCTAAATTATTTTAAATTAAAATCTATAAATATTTATATCTATTAAGTATTCATAAATTTTATGAAAATTTAAATAAAAAAAAAAAAGAAAAAGTAAAATTGAAATTTCTTTTTTAAGATATTATATTATGAGATTTTTTTAATACAATACATGTAAATTATATATTTCTTACCTTCTATAATTTTTTTAAGTTCAAGAACTGTAGTATTATCCTTGGCGTCAGTAAATATCGTCATATTTTTTCGTCGAATCATTAGAAATACATCCTAAGAAGAAAATCTTGATTACGTTTGAGGTTATCTTATATTAAGATAAGTCATATAAACACTATAAGAAATAATTGAATATTGACAAGAACTTACCATTATGAATTTACCTATATATTTAAACTGACAAGAACAATTAATATATAGATCTTGTGCAATGCTCCTTTGTTGATTATTGTTTACTTGTAGTTCGTCAGGTTAAAGGCAAAAAGTTAAAATAAGGTAGACACTCACGGACAATATAATCATATAAAACACTTCATTTCATTGGTTCTTCTTTCTAAACATAAATTCTGTTTGGAGCATTGTTTGTTTCTTTAACCAATCACAAATTGGTTTTATATTTAACATTTAACTATAAATCCTTAAATCAGAAATAATATTTTTAAATACCTCTTATATACATATGTATATTGATATATCAAATTGATAAACAAAATACAAAAATAGTAAAATCATTATATTATTACATATATTTAAAATGCTAAATTAAATTTATCTTGAAAAATTGTATTTTAATACTATAAATTATATATATATATATATATATATAACATAATAAAAAGT